CACATCACCCTGGAGGCAGTTTTGAAGGACACCTTTCATTGTGGCAGAAGAAATTTCTCTCAAAACTATATATACTTGATGCAGAGAGAAAATATTTAGGTATCATAATTGTCATATGAAATACTGATTGCCTGGAAAACTACACTGGCCCAATCTACAGCAGTAGTCCAAACATATTCATTTTTTTGTTAATTGAAGTGCAATGCTGAGATTTAGGTTCAGGTTACTAACATTATATGAATCAATTAGAAGTGCCAATTCCTGCTTCTAATGATGATAATAATCTATATTTGGTTGATACCTGATAATACTAGTAAATATGAGGGTTCCAAACATCAACAATTAATTCTTATGTGACTCCTTTTTACTATAGATTGAAAATATTAAATCTTAAAATAAATTACAAAGCAAGTTATACTCATTTACGGTAGGGTAGGGAAGTATACACTTGTCAGAAGGAAAGACTTGCAACATTAGAACATTAATTTTTCTGCCTTGACTTGTGCAATGGAACTTATGCTACTTCCTTTGCCCACTTCTCCAATTTTCCAAAGGGTTTTGTTTGCATCTTAAATAATTCAGAATGTTTATAATCTAAAGAAAATTCATAGAAATTCTTCTCAACGCAAGTATTTCCTTTCTTGTGGGAACTAAGCTGTTCAGAACTAATTGCTATCAAATAGAATAGAATTAATTGGCTGAGATGTCACAGTGATGGATTTCTAACTCCCAATATAGTAATTAAACATAGTAATTAAAACAATAGTGTAATTGAAGAAAAAAACTTGTTTCATTTCTTTTTAGAAAATATATATTGTCTACTCATTAGAACAATTGTTTTCAGGGTAGTTTCAGATCAGCTGGTACCTTGGTAATATGTCTAAAAATAAAATATCTATAATGGTATTAGTTTAAAAAAAGTATGTGTTGATTTGCCACAGTCTTAAAATATTGTACACAAATACACAAAAGTGGGAAAGGATGATAGTAGATGTCTTCTGGAACATATGATGTGTGCAATGATTAATGCAGTGTTCCTCAATCACAGCAACTTTAAGTTGCGTGTATTTCAACTCCCAGAATTCCCCACTCAGCCTGGGCATGAACCTTGCTTTATTGGTCTGCTAGGAATCTTAATTATTTTTATTTACCTCTTTCCAAAAGAGTTTTTAACACAAATTCTAAAGCTGTAACTTACAACTCTTTATTATGTACAGTAGCTGTTCTAGAGATGGCATTCTTTTCCACCCTTCCTGTTCCTGAGCTTTGCAACACTTTCTGGGACATTTATTTATTAAATTTATATGTAGTCCATTTTACTGTTGAGTGACTCTGAGTGGCTTATGTCATAAAACAGAAATATAAAATATTAAAAAGTTAAAACATTGAATATTAAAAGTTAACCAAAAAAAATCCTAGGTAAACTGGGAGCCAATACACAAACAGGTTGGTGTTAGGATCTTCTTAGTCCACCGACTATGTCCAGTGTGGAACGCTCCTGTTGGGGCCCCAAGCAGCTTTGTGCCTTCAGACTTGCAATATTCTGTTAATGTAGCTTTACAATAAAGTAGAATTAGTTCATCTAGTCATGTGTCCTGTCTGATTTATCTGGGATGGGTGACATCCATCTTGCAAGTCTGAAGGCACAAACTTCCCACCCCTATTTTTAATCACTTGATTCATTAGGGTGGATCCTTCCTAAGTTTCTTTCTCTGATCATGAAGTGGCTGTGGCTCCCACTTCTCTTGTCTGATTGTTTTCTAGGCAGCATCTCTTTCCCCAAGGTCATTCATACATTCCATTACACCTGTCATAAACCAACAAAGTCAGAAAATGATACCAGTTTAACATAGCTCTAGGAACCTAATGCCCATCCATGCAATGTCAGGATGCATCTGCCCACCACTTGTAACCTTTGTCATTTATCTTTTCTGCAAGACATCTGAAAAGCATCTACTTTTAAATGTAGAAGCTCACACATTAGAACCATTCCTTTTCTTTGTACTTTAATTATTTTGTGCTTGCATTCATTTCACATGCGGTACCTTATGTACTATAAGGTGATCAGAGGAGAATAATGCATTTTGTGTAATGCTGCAGGTTAATGACATAATAAATATTCTTTGTAGGAGAATAACATACATAATGCTCAACTTGCCAATATAAATTTCAGAAGTAATATAGCTATATAACACTATCTGCTGAGTAGAACAACTAGAAATGTTTACACTAATTTCTTCTGATGTTAGGCAACAATAAATTTTAAAAGTCTGAGTTGTCTATTAATATGAGCCTTCAAACACTAAATTAATCCTGATGTGGGCAGTAAGTGTGTGCATGTATACATATCTGGGTGTAGAATGTTTTTGCTGTTTCCAGGAAGCAATTTTATGAATTTATGTTATGCTGTAGTTCAGTCTGGAATTGATGTCTCAAACAATATCTGGAAACAGTCCCAGGACTGAGAGAGAACAACTTGTCCATTCCTATCTTTGCAAAATGCAGAATTCTCCAGCACAGGAGATGGAGAATCCACCAATGGGTTAGCTCTGTCTTCCTGCCCTGCAAACCAAGTCAGCCAAACTTGCCATGCCCTGTCCTGGGCTAGGACACACCCAGTCTTGACTTGGTCTCCAGCCCTAAAGGACGTGACATTGCATACTGAAAATTCAAGATGCAAACGCTCCAGTCCATCTTAGGCAGCGTCAGAAAAGGAGACTTCTTGATGTCCATAGACCTCATGGAAGCTTATCTCCACATCCCCATCCTCCCCGACCACCAGCGGTTCCTCAGATTCTGTTATTTTCTTTTTCTTTTTTGGCCATCCACATTATTTTCAGGAATCTTCTCCAACACCAAAATCCAAAGATATTAGTATTCTTCCTATCCTGCTTCTTTAGAGTCCAATTTTAATTTCTATAGAGTGACACAGGGAATAATATGGCTTGCACTATTCTGATCTTTGTAGGTATAGTCACATCAGGGCATCTAAATATCTTTTCCAAGGCCTTGGCTTAGACAACCAAATAGCTGTTCTACCATGTACTAGTCTGCAGCATATTTCCTGACCACTTGTTCATTTACTGTTGATGGTTGATCCTAAAAGGCAGAGGCTATTCACTACTTCATTGTCAATTCTAAGGCTGGTTCACCTGTTGTCCTTAGTTTAGTCTCCTTTATAGTTAATTATAGTCCCATTTTCCTTCAATCCTTAGTAAAATAAGTTTTAAATACAAGTTTAAGGAATATAGATAGATATAGATATGTAAAAAACTCACAGCAAAACGGTGACTAGAACTTTGATTTTGGAAATTACAAATGAGCTAAGGGTCCAGATCGATTTGAAGTATGAGTTTGGGATCAGTTATAAGAATACTGCCCATGGGAAAATACTGTTGTTTCCAATTCTTTAGAAAAAAAAAGAACATGATAGGATCGGACTTTGAAAGTTGGACAGTCGAAGAAACCAGAAGGAACTAAAAATTACATTTAAAGGAGAACATTTAAATGTGAATGGAGCAAAATACTTGAACATTGGATTTAGTGAGGGATATTTGTGAAAAAAGGACTGCAATTAC